CCAGCGCCTGCGAAGACCACAGGAAGTTTATATTTTAAATGTAATGGGAAACCCTGGAGAGACTGGAGCAGGAAAACAAGGAGGTTTAATTTAACATCTACGAAAGCTTCCTGTAACTGCTGTGCAGAAAGCAAACTACGAGAGTCAGGACCAGGAGATAGTTAGGAAGTTCCCATGTCACCAGGAGAAGTCACAGATCCATGGCGTGGGGAGCCATGGTTGGATTCTGAATGCATTTTGGACACTGAGCCACGAGGACTTCTTTGAGTATTTAATGAACAGCTGAAAAGATTTACATTGACCAGAGGTTGTCAGGACTGGGAAATATAATGTTCTTATGATACAACAGGAAGTTGTTTCTTATACCACCTTAATATGAAAATATTATGTTCTTTGGATATAATAGGAAGTTGTTTCTTATACCACCTGGATATGAAATGCTGATGGGAAAAAAGATGTAAATTAGTGTAGTTCATCTACTGCTATAAAATGAGAGCAAAACCACTGTGTACTTGTTGGACCCTGACAGCTTTAAGAAACAGGAACCTTGCATATGACACTGATCTAAAATACCACGCTGACAGAAAGCAAGCACACACCTTAATATTATATTTCATGTAGATGCGGGTCACTTAGCAAAGTGCTGATTTCACCACTAGATTAGGGAATTTACGTTATGAACTGAAATCATGTGAATCCTGATGAGAGACTTGTATTCAATTTTGAAGTGACATAATTTTAGCACGGTGTGATCAAGGGAATAGTGGGGCTGTTAATGTGTGTGTCTATGTTCTCATTTTACAGCACATTGGGAGGAGGAAAGTGAAGGCCATGGTAACGGGCTTCCTGGAATCAATAAGTAAGGTTATTGCTGCACAAGGGTTTTTCAGTGACAGTCTCATTGTCCTATTTCTTGACACTGAGGTGTAGCACCTGCCTCCTGCTGTGGAAAGGAGGAGAGGTTTATTTCGGTACACAGTTCGTGGTGGTTTTGGTCCATAGCCAGCTGGCTCCATGGCAGGGCAGTGTGGCAGAGGGGCCTGGTGCAAGAGACAGAGTTCATGGCATGGAGGCAGGAAAGAGAGAGAGATAAAGCAGGATGAGGCAGGTAGAGCTTTCCAGGCCATGCCTGAGGGCTCACTTCCTCCTGCAAGGCGTCACCTCCCACTGTCACATTTAGCTAGAAGCACATCAGTGCACAAATATACAGCCCTGTGATGCAATTGCCTCCAAAAAGCCCCACCTGCGAGGTTTAGTGGCTCAGGGCACAGCTAGATATAAATCATAACACACAGGGATTAAGCTTTACAGAATGATGTTCCGAGACTGTGTGTGTGTGTACATGCAAATATGTGTCAGTGGGGAGGTTAAAGGGTGGCATAAAACTCTGCCCTTGTAACCACTCTATGGAAGTAGAATTAAAAGCTATGAAATGTCAATCAAAAAGAGAAAGAAAACACAAAGCAACAACTAAAAGAAACCTCCCAATTCAATACGCTTGAATCAGTCATTTCACAAATACCTTTCCCTCAGCACCCTTTCCCGTCTCAGTCCAAGCCTGACACCTACTCATGTCTCACAGAACTCGTGTTCTGGGTATCATGAGCCACTTTTCACCCCAGCGTTCTGTGCTCGCTGTGTGACACAGTGAGAAACCCAGGGAACATGGTTTTTGGGGGTTCGAATCTGCTCCACGTTGGCAAGTTATGTAGCTCTGGGTGAGTTAGTCCATCTCTGGAGGACTCAGTGTGTTCTCACCTGTAGTCTGCTAACAGTACCTCCCCTAAAGGGTCAGTATGAGAATCTGGTGAGAATTTGGTGGAATTTGGTGTGAAATACAAGCGAAACGAGTTAGTAATAAAACAACGAACACATACTTGTTGAATCTCTGTGATGTAGGAGCTGCAATGAATTTATCCTTTTTAATTTAGTTCAAAAATCCTACAAGGGTGCATCATTGGTTCTAACTTAAATAAGATCCCTGGAGCTCAGAGAGGTTAAGTAACAGGCCAGTCATACAGCTGGTTCTAGGTGCAAGGTTGCAGACTGAGCAGTGCTGGCTGGGAAACAGCATTTCATCCACGATATATACACATTGTGTCAGGCAGCCTCAGGAAACTTCTGCTCTGAGTCAGTACACAGTCTGTGCTGTACACTCATTTTGAACAATGAAACCTATCACTTCCCAATGCAGCATCCACTCCATGCAGTTAGTGTTGTCATAGCAGTAAGATTCTCATGGAGCAGCTCAAAGTAGTTCATAGTAAAGAAGAAAACGCACTTATTACATGCAATCTTTTAGGTATCAGAGCCTTTGGTACTTGGAGATGGCTGTGCAATATTCAACTCAGGGTTAGAGCTGACATTCTGCATGGAACACACAAAATGATAAATATATTGGCTTTGCATTTAGAAGATAAAATATATTAATAAAACTTCATGAATTATTTAATTACAATCTTGTTATATCTGACTTCATTTTGCTTGGTCTCTTCTTAAAGATGATGACAATATTCATATTATGAATATGAAGATATCTCCAAAAATATATCCTAGCCAGGTGTTAGATGTGGAAGGATTTCTGGGATGCTTGATGTTACTGTAGTATCCTTGCACTAATGGTCACTCACATGCATTTCAATCTCTTGAGAAGCCAGGAAATCTCCCTAATATGAGTGAATATTACACGATATTGGATGATGCTGAAATACTGAGTGGAAGGTACAATACTTAGGGAGATGCACGTATGCCCCCTATCATCGAATAATTGGAGACATGGGGAAATGATGAGCAAAGAATTGTGGCATTTGGTCATTCAGTTATGCTGAACATTTAGAAAGATACTGCCTTTGTCACTAAATGTCCAAAAATATGATTTATGCAATTTAAATAAAAGGCTCATATGATTACAGCAATTGTTAGTTATTATCCACTACTCATGTGCAAAAATGATTGGTGAAACACACCATGGAAACTTTTCCAGTTGTATGCATATATTAGACAAATAAAAGGAGATATTTTGGCTTTGTTTTTTTTCTTTCTTTTTTTAAGTTTTTCCTTTGTCTTTTTGAGACCGGGTCTTGCTATGCGGTTCAAGCTGGCCTTATCCTCACTTGGTAGTACAGGGTGGTCTCCAACTTGCAATGATCTTCCTGTCTCAGCCACCTAAGTGCTGAGATTAAAGGGTGTAGCAACACACCTGGTTTAGATTTTGTTTTCTTCCCAGAAAATAAGTGAAGAAAGCAACTTCCTTCAGAATTAATTCCTGTAAGAAAGATCTTTGCATTCTGATACAATATGTTTGTACTGATAAAATGTTCTTTTGATGTTGTATACAAAATGAACATTTCGGAGGCTTTAATAAGAAGACTTAATAAGCCAGGCCGTTTCTATGCCACACACACACACGCACACACACACACACACACACACACACACCTATACACACACATGAAATACAGAACAAATTTGTAGTCATTTAGAATGTTGTTCTAAGTAACACAATTTATGGCTTTAAAAACAGTTAAAATATCTTAATAGTAATTACTCACTAGAAAAACAAGATTTAATCTTTAGGTTAGAAATTCTTAATCTTAGGATATCCTCTACTTATTCAGTGAACAGTAAAAAGTGTAGATACTCCATCCATTCCCTAGACAAATTAAAACTGACTCTCGATATAGGACAGGAAACTTTGAGAGCTCTCAAGAGGTATAAATGTGTATGCAGGACTGAGCTCATCTGACTTTTGGCAATGGAGCATGAATTGTTTTTAGTACTAAAACTTAAGGCTTAATTTCTGCTGGTTGTAAATAAATTCACTGTGGATTTACAAAATAAATGTTTAATCAAATGAGTATCACTTCTTGATTTATTCTGGCTTTATGTTTGTTGTCACTGATTGTGTCAACCTGACCACAGTAAGAAATGCCAAGCAGTTTAGTACAGCCAAATTCTGGGTGTGTCTGTGGATGAGTGATGTACAGGTCAGCAAACTGGAAGGGGAAGACCCGCCCTAGTTGTGGGTGGTACCAACCAATAGGATTGTAACCTGGGGGGTATAAAAAGGGTACTGAAGCAGGAAGTGTAGCCATTTTGAAGGTTCCAGTCTTCCTGAGTAGGATGTTGGGCTCCAGGCCTCTTCTGTTACAGATTCATACTGATGCTTCTCCATGGAGCTTCCAGGCTTCTGACCTCAGACTGGCACTGAAGTCTTGATCCCACTTGTCCTGGAGCTTTCACCTGCTTCTGTTTCCATCTTTTTCAAAGCAGCTTCTGGACTCTTTGGTTCTCCAGCACACAGAAGGTCAATGTGGTTTCTCCTGCCTCTGATCCTGTGAGCCTGCCTAATATATTCCTTGCATAATCATCCAGATACTTTCCATTAATTCAGTTCCTCCAACTAACTCTAAAGCAATGTTATTTTTATTTCATTTATTAAAAAGGAAAAGTCCCAGTTCAAAGTCATTGCTCCGGAGAAAGGTCAGCAGGCAAAAGCTTTACTGTGTATCTTCCTCAACAGAAGCAAATCTCATGTGATAACATCACAAGGCAAAGAGGAGATGGAATAAACTGTCACTTGACAGTGATAATAAGAAATATTAATAAACAGTAAATAAAATTTGTATTATTTACAAACAGAGGGTTGGGGTAGAGTCTCAGTATTATCTTCATTGCACATTCTGAGTACCAAAATTTTCTAAATATAGCTATATAAATATGAATATACTTATTCACATATAATTAAAAAGAATTTCTAAGATGGTAACAAACATGTTTTGTTATAAGACTGTTGTTCATTACAAATCCTCTTGTATTATTTGAATTTCAAAATGGGCAATACTTTAATAATAATTGTAAACTCAGAATACTATAATCACAGCAAATGTTAATAATTAAACTTAATTTTTTTTTTCTTAAAAAAATGCTCCAGGTTTCGAGAACACAGCTTACCTTTGCAGAGAGGGAAAGGAAATGGAAAATATTGAAAATCAACTCACCCAAGCAGAAATCACTGAGATCAGCAAAGGAACATTTGAGCAAAGATTCTTTGTTATTCTCCTCAGGGTTAACTGAAAAACAAAATTATAAACTTTGCAGTTTTGGGAAATTAAATCCTAAAAACAAGAATTACTTTTGTATAATGTGAATGTGGTGGCCAAACATGAAGAAATATTTTAAGTGAATGAGTTGAAATTAGTGACACAAAAGTTACTCTCAATAAGGGAAATGTTTTAATTCCTTTATCCTGTTGAGCAGTTACCACCACCCTTACTGAACATGGCTATAAGTTATCTAAAATATACAGAGATTTTGCCATGTCACTGAAAAGGTAATTTTCACATTAACTAGGGGAAGAAGGAACAGAAGGTCTCAGAAGGGAATACACTCCTGTAGGGCAAAAGCTGGAAAAGAAAGGGGAAGGAGGCCCCAGCCTACCCACCAAATGACAGGGACCAAGCAGAGGTCACACGGGACTCTCGATTTTAAGCTGCCTACGGCTTCCTGGTTTGTTTGATGAGCAGATACTTGTAGCAGTGTGCGTCCTATCGTTCCCAAAATTCTCTCTCTCTCTCTCTCTCTCTCTCTCTCTCTCTCTCTCCTCTTTCTTTCTTTCTTTCTTTCTTTCTTTCTTTCTTTCTTTCTTTCTTTCTTTCTTTCTTTCTTTCTTTCTTTCTTTCTTTTTCTGGATATAGCATCTAATTGGTATGTACCCAGATTTCAACCTTAGCATGACAACGCTTTTTGACAACACCAGTTCCTGTTCATGCACCTAAACCTTCACTGTTGCACAAATATTTTCGGTTTTTCATTTGAGGACACTGAACTCTTTATAGCTGGTATCTTTTACATGAACACTGGTCGTAAGTTCTCACCAGGAGTGACCTTTCCTAACCACAGAGCTGGAGGCAGTGGCCCCGAGCTGATGACTTGGGAGCGATGCCTGTCTTCCACTGCCAAGAGCAGGGGCTGGTGTAGGAGCCCAGAGGACCACCCACCAGCAGGGTAAGGGAGGAAGAACAATGCACTGGGCCCGCAGATGGGCTCCAGTCCAGCTGTCCAAGTGCTGGTCTGCTTCCAGTGGCAGACTCCTTCCTGTGGGGTTCCCTCAGTGCCAGGAAAATGGGAAAAAGAAGGAGAGCAATGCGACGGACACACGCTTTGCACGTTCACAAGAAAATGAGAACTATTGTTCACTCACCTTGCTCTGTTTTGTCGGCAGAGATTAAGGTGACCGAGGTGGGAGCCTGAGAGTCACTCTCGGTGGACTGGAAGAGGGAGGGAGATTGGCACAAGCTGTGAGGGTGAGCATGGCTCTGGGTAAGGCAAGGCAGGGATCTCCGAGAGGGTTTCAGCGGAGTTTCTTTTGTTATTTCACTTTTGCTTATGTTCATACCTGCAAACCGCAAAAGGCAAGAGTTAGCAGTCAGAAGCAATGAGCAGAGGTCAAGCAACCATTTCACTCCGCTGATAGCACCCTTGGACTGCACTTCTACAAAGCACTGCCTGCCTTTCAGATCCCAGTTGGTTTTGTCTCTGTTTTTTTTTTTTTTTTTTTTTTTTCCTGCCAGCGTGAGGTTTCCCTCCAGCAGTTCTGAGGGATAAATAGCTACTTTTCTAGTTTGAGCTTTGATGATTTTTTTTAAAGGTTTGTTGCAGGGAAAAAGTAAATAGATATTTGGGTATTTATGAGAGAAATGATTTGAATTGTCTTTGGATAAACTGAGACTTGAGTTTTTAAGCAGCAGATAAATAAAACCTAGTGCATTCAAGTTACTATTATTAAAACATATTTCCGTCCACAATCTCACCCAAAGTCCACCTCCGACCAAGGGGCCCGCTGCGGTGGGCTGTCTGCAGTGAGGTCACTCTGCTGTCTCCCACCATCTCCCCACAAGCACCATAACTCAGATCAAACATCCAAGGTGGAGAAGGTAGTAGCCACCCTACTCCAGACTGACTTTTGCTTTCATTCTTTTTCAGTCGTCCTTTCTCAAACAAAATTACCTGCAAATTCCTGTCTCTGGGCTTCCTTCAACTCTCCCTTACAGCTCTCACTTTCAATGCCCACTTCCAGGTTATTTCTCACTCTCTGTAGCATGTGTAGCCCCAAGGTCACATCTCCCTGACATCCTCACCACACATTCTCCTTGTCTCACTGTTGGGTTCTGTATGCCTGCCTGGGAGGTGAGCTCCACCAGGGCACTGACCTTTCCTCCTTTTGTCTTTGTCTTGGCTTGGTTCACTCGGAAGATCTCACTGGATGTTGGAAGAGTGCGATATTCACCTCTGCCCATGGCACAGCAAGCTCACCTTTCCTCTTTTCACTGTCTCCACTGCCCACTGCTTGTGCCTGGGCCTCTCTAGATGGTGTTTCAAAAATATCTGTGAAATAAGAATTTGGTGGGGAATCTAGGGCCCTTCATTAACCTTATTTCCTCAGCGAGATTTATAGCTTGATCTGCTAATCAAGGGAACCAAGTCACCAATGTGAATTCAGAGCTAGGAATTGCTTTTCAGGAAAATGATTGCCACAATTCCCCATTTCCCTTCACCTGCATGGATGATAACTTTTTTTTTAAACAAATAATCTTGATCCTGAATTACTGTCTATGAAGTTTCTGATGGACACTTAATTAACATGTCTCCTAAGCAGCTGGGTATTTATGCTGTGTGCTCCATGTATGAAAATAAAACGAAACAAAACAAAAGGTTAAATTCTCTTACTTCAATGAGGCAGACCTGACCATATCTGGACCCCATTTACAGCAGCTTTTAGGCTTCGTAACAAATAGGATGAAGAAACTCATTATGATCCAGTGTCCAGTCCCAGGCAGGCTCTGTGCTTGTTGGATTGATCTACTGGAACTGTCTGTGTGTTTATAATGTACAAGCATGTGCACAAAATAGTTTCTTACACTCTTGGCCATGTGCAATGTGTCACATGTCACACTAGCCCACCTAATATGTCTTAGACAGTTTCCCATCTCAATCCATATCAACCAACTTAAAATTTGCAACTACTACAAAGTGTTCCAGAGTGTGGGTAAACCGTTACTTATTTGAACATTCCACTGTCAATGGATATTTAGAAAATTTTAATAATTCTGTTTTAAAAGAACATTGTTTGAATATCCCTATAGATGTCTGTTGCCCAAACATTATTTCTTTAGGAGGAAATACTTAGATGTAGAACGTCTAGGTGGAAGGGCATGAATGTTGGTCATTTGAGTGGAAATTGCCAAACTGTCCTTTCCAAAGCTTCGTTTTTTCACACTTCTAGGGATAGCACAGGATTGCATCCAATTTCTTACCCCTCGGCCAATCCTACAGAGCATCAGCTGTTTTAACTTTGAACAAAATAACAAACAAAAATAAAAACAAAAATTCCTTATTGTTTTCATTTTTATTCATAGATTGAGCATGTGTTTCCTACCAATTGTAATGCTTATGTGGAGACTGAATTCAAGGCTTTTACACTGAGCTCCTTCCCAAGCTCTTTTTAATCTTTATTTTGAGACATACTCTAAGTTGCACATGCTGTCTCTAATTTGTGATACTCATGCCTCAAGCATCTAGAGTCCTGGGATTACAATATATTGGTAGACTTTTGATTTATAGGTTCTCTAAATACCTACAATGTTTTATTTACTTTACTTATATGTCTGTTTCATTTATTGTATAATAACGAAGGTGCAAATATTGTGATTTCTATTTACTATGGGGAAATCAGACTAGAATGGAAAAAATAACACGCCCTAAGTCACAAAGTGATCACAAGGGGCGTGTATATTCCCAAGCATTTTCCAGCGCCAGAGTTGCCCAATCATGGGGCATCCACAGATTAATTCACAAATCCCTGGGACGCTATCTTCACTTCAACATTCACCGACACTTCGAGAACACTCAGCAAAGCCTTGTCAAGAGAAAACACAAACAGAACAGCACAGCCACAGGTGCCCCAGCCTCCAGCCACTCAGTGTTCACTCACGTGACTTGCTTGTTCTCTACATAAAAGAGAATTTCAGACATAGTTCATAAAAGGGGAGAAGGACTGCGCTAACTCTAAGCATACTGAACATCGGTGAGATGGAATTTAGGCCTTGCACTTCACTTGTCTTAATTTTGCTTTTGAGATGGAGAAGAATCAGGGCCATCATCACCCTGGGGAGAGACAAAACCGAGCAAAGCTGCTGTTATTTGCAATCATCATTTTTTATTGCCAGATGGAATTTGCTGAACTTCACTTGTGTTATTGTTGTCAATAATTTTTAGGAATATAATTTTGTAGACATTTAAGGAATATGTTCTACATTTCTAAGGAGTTTTCCAAACACAAGAATTCAAATATATCAAGGCACATGCCCTGTGAGAAGACAGAAGTGTTGGAAAAGAAACAATGGCATTTTTTGAAGTTGCTTCTTCTGAAAGAAGACAAAGCCGAGGAGGTGAACTATAGATAAACCAGTGGGATGCCGTCCTTCTGCTCTCCAGATACTTGTCTCTCTCATTTGTATGGTGATTCTCTGTGTTCAAATCAAATGCAAACTGGAGGGGACAGTGGGGGAGAAGTGAGGTGACTGAGACTCACCCACACCTCTTAGCTTTGGGGACTGTCAGTGCAAGGAGACACCTATTTTTTCTAATTAAGCTTAATTCCTTTTATTTGTGTATTTTAAGTATGTATAACAATCACATTCATCATAGTGAATTTTTACATGTACATAATGTATCTTAATTCTTCTCTTCCTATTTCCTCCTTTTCTTTCAACCTTTCTTCCCTTCTTTATGAAAGCTTGTTTTCATTTTCCCCTGCTATTCTTTAGTATTTCTTTTGCCTTCCTTCTTTTGCCTCTCCTCTTCATTTATTCCCCTTCCTATTTGAACATTTTCTTTCCACTTTCAATACCTCTTATACATTTTGGTTTTTATTTATACTTTCTGTTTCTCACAACAAAGAAACAATGTGATATTTACATATGAATGTCCAATTTATCTCCTTTAAAAGTAGGACCTCAAGGTGCATCCATTTACCTAGGAAATACCTCAGAAACTGGCATCTGAATTCAAAAATGGGCATCTGAAGTGAATGGACACTTCTCGGACAAAAAGTACAAACAGCAAGTAGAAATATGAAAAGAGGTTCAATCTCCCTGGTCACTCGAGAGATGCAAATCAAAACAGCACCAAGATTCCATCTCATCCCAGAAAGAATATTATCAAGAAATTGATGGACAACAAATGTTGGCAAGGGTGCAAGGAAAAAGGAACTCTTCTCCACTGTTGGTGGGAGTGTAGACTGGTGCAACCACCGTGGAAATCAGTGTGGAGATTCTTGCAAAAACTAAAGTAGGGTTTGTATTTGACTATTCCTCTTCTTGATGTCTTCCCAAAAGAATTAAAAACATCATACCACAGTGATATATGTACTCCCATGGGTGGAGTGGGACAGTTTGCAATACTAAACCTTGGAAACAGCCCAAATGCCCATCAGTAGATGAATGGGAAAAGATGTGGTATTTTCATACAATGGAATGCTGCTTTGCTGTAAGGAAATACCTGCTTTGAAAAGGAACTGTCAAAGGTATACTGAATTTTTAAATCACATAATTCCCTCTAGGGGATGAGCAATCAATGTTTTCTATACCTAATACCGATCTCTCTGGGTAAGTTTATATGCCAACAACTTGCTTGTGATACAGTCTGACATTTCCTTTTATTTAAGAGATACTGGCATATTTTTCAGCCCAAGCTGAGTGTAGTCTTTTACCCCAGCAGAACACGTGTTTGGAAGATTCAGTGTTCGTGGGTAGCGGTGAGAGCAGCTGCATGAGTGGAAGACAGGGGCAGCCAGTGGAAAGGACTTTGGACTGGGAGTGAAATGACCTCAGCACACCCTGGGCCATGGGGTCTGGACCCCTGAGAAACAGTCTCAGCACATTCTCTATAATAATACACAATTCACGTTCAGCCACAATCCGCTATGCAGCTTCAAAATGCAGCAAAGCTCACATCTCCCTTTATTTTGATACTTAGACACAAAAGGTTTAAACAATCCTTGTACAAAGGGCCATTTGTTGGTGAATATTTCTTACACAGTGCTATGATATGAGATGCACTGAACTATACTTGTCAGGGCTGTTAATGATTTTTGTTACTTGATTCATGCATGTGTTCACTTATTCACTTGACAGAGAACATTTGAGAACTGGATGTCTGCAGGAACTCTGCTAACAGCAGGCCTTTGGTGGAGAGCAAAGCAGGCATGTAGTTCCTACCCTTAATGGCCATATACTCTGGTAGACAGACATTTCCATAAATATACATATATATATATATATATATATATATATATATATATATATATATGTTATATATGATACATACACATTAATA